GGAGAGCTCGGGCGAGGAGGATCCGAATGTTATTCCGAGGACGGCGCCGTTGGGGTTTTTGGGGAGACTGCCGTTTAAGATTGTGGGGAGTTTGAGGTATAAGCCGTCGGCGGCGAATTTGAGAGAGCACCCTGGTGGCGGTGGTGGGGAGACAGAGCAGGGGTATCACGGGGAAGGGCTGAGGGATGATGAACATCAGCCGTTATTAGGAGGAGGTGATGAGGAGAGCCCAAGGCGGCAGCCGGGGAAGAGACCGAGGAGCGATACCACGAATTCAGGGGATACGTCGAGCTCTTATCGGTCAAGGGGAGACTTATTCCCTAGTGATGGCGAGGGGGATGAGGATGCAGTGCCACTGGATGACGAATTCACGGTGGCCCTGGAACGAGTCGACGATCGGGGCAGCACAAAAACCCGCAGCAGCAAGGGGAAACGGCCGGCCGATAGGGATAGGGACAGGGACAGGGACAGGGGCTTATCAAGGACAGTTTCTCGAACTACGCTATCGTCGACAAATACACCGGATGAAAGCAAGTGGGATAGCAACCCGGTATCTCCTGTCCAGGAAGTGGAACCCGTGGAACGAGTGCCCTCGCTAGAAGATCTCCGGCGGGAAGAGGAACAAGCCGCGAAGGAAGAATATGAAGAGATCGAGAGGAGGCGGAGGGCCGCTGCGCAATTGGCCATGCAGAAAGGGCTAGGCAAAGAGGATGCCGAAACTCGGAATAAGTTCGATGAGGCGGCGGACGACACACCAAATAATCAACCTCGACATACCCCAGCAGAGGACCTCGCCCCGAATGGACGCCGAGACACGATGGAGGATGATGAGCTCGAAAAATTCAAATTTAAAGCACCACAAACAGCCATCCGGGAACCCAGCCCCATACCAACGAAGGAGGCTAACGCCAAGTTACAAAGCGAAAACACCTTTGTACCGGCACGGTTGCCTCATTTTGGTTGACTCTTTGCGACATAATGAACGGGTGCTTAGAAACGGACCTGGAACGATTATTTTTATGAGATGGCTAATGGTTGCAACGCTTTACGAAACCGGCCTTTCTCGCCCTTGAGTTTATAAGGGTCAAAGAGGGAAAAATACTACGATACCTTTTGGAGAGGTGTAACTTTGACTTTGATATCCCGGCGTTGGTCTTCAACATGGTAGAATGGTGAATGCTTTATAATAGATGCTGCATGATTACCATGCGCCCGGCTGGCTGTATCATTAGGAGTAACTTGGATGACTTATATATATATATATGTATAACATATTCACGGGTGAATACTACCGCAAGCCATCATCTCTTAGCGCCAGTCCATCTTGACATCGGAGACTGACTTTCAACTGAGTCGATGCCAAGGCCCCAGCCGGTGACCTGCAGATGCCTCGGCTCCTCCCCGCTCCCCGCATCTTGGCTTCTCGGTTCGAGCCCGGTGCCAGGTTGCGGACTCCACTCAGTGGGCCACAGGGGCATCTCCCCCTTGTCTTGGTTGCTTGTTGGGGAAAGATGAGGGACAGAACTCGGCTTGATGGGGTTTGATGTGTGGTATCGAAAATTGCTTGTGATTCCGACTGTTTGGTATTTCTATCTTGTTGGCTTTTTCCTTCTTTCCTTTTAACCATTAAGCTACTTCCCTCGCGTCTTGTTCTTTCAAGCGTTCGGCTTAGTTACCTCCCTTACACCACCGAGCCAGCCAACCATCGCCTTTCGCTTCCACCCTCCTCTCACTTACACCCCAACCTCCGAACAACCCACGAAAAACAACTACACCACAAACTACAACCACGACTACAACCGCATCCACAACCACATCTACAACCACAACCACAACCACCCCAAAACCGCCCACCATGTCTACCACCACCACCCCCAACGCCCCCACCGGCCCCATCACCACCCCACTAACCACCCTCCTCGGCATCCGCCACCCGATCCTCCTCGCCGGCATGGCGCGGACCTCCAACGGGCGTCTCGCCGCGGCGGTCTCCAACGCGGGCGGCCTGGGGGTGATCGGCGGGTTCATGTACACGCCGCCGCAGCTGCGGGAGATCGTGGCCGAGCTCAAGGCGCACCTGGCGTCGCCCGACCTGCCGTTCGGGATCGACCTGGCGCTGCCGCAGGTCGGCGGCGGGGCGCGCAAGACCAACCATGATTATACGGGGGGGCGCCTGGAGGAGCTGATTGACATTACGGTGGAGAGCGGGGCCAGGTTGTTTGTCAGTGCGGTGGGTGTGCCGCCGGTGAAGGTGATTGAGAGGTTGCATGCGGCGGGGATTTTGGTCATGAATATGGTGGGGCATCCGAAGCATGCGGTGAAGGCGCTCGAGTTGGGGGTCGATATGGTGTGCGCGCAGGGCGGGGAGGGTGGTGGGCATACGGGGGATGTGGCGAATAGTGTGTTGATTCCGGCCGTGGTGGATGTCGCGAGGCAGTATAGGCCGAAGATGCTGGGTGGGGAGCAGACGGCGCTGGTGGTTGCGGCGGGCGGGATTTCGAACGGGCGGGGACTGGCGAGTTCGTTGATGCAGGGTGCGGCGGGTGTGAGGGTGGGTACGAGATTCGTGGCGAGTGTCGAGGCTGGGT